TGGTTTATTCCAGAAAAGCAAGGTTGGCTTTTTATTTGTAAATCAATCAACATAATTCATGAAATTAATAGAAAAAAAGGAGAAAAAAATAATATGGTCACCTCAATGTCTTAGAAAATACATTTGATGAAATTCAACATCCATTCCAGGAATACAGGACAAGTTCCTTAATCTGATGAAGGGTGTCTACAGAACACACACAACGTCATTTTTGTGATGAAAAGTTGAAAAGCGTCTCACTGCCCTTGACAGTGGCACATGAATGCTTGATGCTACATCACCTCTCAACATCCTGCTTAAGTCCGAGCCGCCGCAATAAGGCGCGAAAAACACATCAAAGGTGTAAGGATCAGAAGAGAGAAAACCGCCATGAGTCAAGGATAATACGAATGTGCATGGAAAAAAATCCAAAAGAATTCAAATGAGGAAGTAAGTTTAGCAAACCGTTAGATGCCTTATTGGTATTTCTTTATATCATCAACAAAAACCCAATGCATTTTTAAAAGGTAACATCAATGATAGCATTAAAAAATTAAGAAAGTAGGTCCCATTTATTTATTTTTGTTGCTGTGGTGATTGCTGTGGGAGTCTTCTTCAAGAATTCCTTGCCTAGGCCGATGTCTGAAAGGGTCTTCCCAACATCTTCTTTTAGAATTCTTAAGGTTTTATGCTTTGAGTTTAAGTCTGTTATCCGTCTTGAACTGATTTTTGTGAGAGATGGAAACAACCCAAGTGCCCATCAATCTATGAGTGGATTATTAAAATTTGGTATATGTATACAATGGAATATTATTCAATCATAAGAAACGACAGTGATCTAGCACCTCTTATATTTTCCTAAATTAAACTTAAGCCCATTGTCCAAAGTGAGGTATCACAAGATCAGAAGAAAGGACTCCACTTGTACTCGCCATCAAATTGGTACTAACTGATAAACACGAGGGTACTCACATGGCAGAAATACTCCGCAGGGATTAGGGGGATGGGGGGGTAAATCTGCAACTAAAGGACACGGGGAGCATTGTAGAGGGGAAGGGACTGCCTCGAACCCTTGCTTGGGTGAGGCAAAGACATAAAGTGTAACCATAATGTTCGTACCCTCATAATACCCTGAAATAAAAAAAAAAATTAAGAAAGTAGGAATAAATCTAATGAAATATGTACAAGACCTCTACACAGAAAATCATAAAACAATATTTAGAGACATTAAAGAAAGCCTTTATAAAGGGGGATTCCATGTCCATGGATGATAAAACTCAATACTGTGAAGATACAATGTCTCCCATAGAGTGGATGCAGTCCTACCAAAACATAAGAGGCTTTTTGTAGAGATTTACTTGCTGATTCTAAAATTTACATAATATTGCAAAGTCCCAAGGACACCAAGACACCCTTGAAGAACAAGTGGCAGAACTTGATCTACTGAAAACCCACACTTTATGTAAAGATGAAATAATGAAGACAATGGTGAGAATAGACAGGTACACTAATCCAACAGAAAAGGACCCAAATACACACACTTCACTTATAACAAAGTTGGCACTGTAGGATCATTTTTCCAATAAATATTGCACTGGAATATGTTTAAAAACAAGTAAATTGTAACCCCCCCCCAACCTCACACCATACACAAAACGCTGTTCCAGGAGTGAGACAGGAAACTGGCAGGTCCTGCCCCTTAAGGAGCTGCAGACCCAGGTCTCTGAGAAGAACCGGAACCGGTGAAGAGTCCAGTTAAGACCAGTTGGAACCAAGATGGTGACAAAAATAACCTCCGCTTGCCATTTTCTGCCCACTACATCCTGTTTAGAATGTATTCCAGCACTAAAAGAAACTCCTACCAGCACCATGACAGTTCACGATCACCATGACAACCTCACAAGTGACTTTATATGGTACAAGAAGAGGAGGAACACCAGATTTCTGGAAATCTTTGCTTCTTTCCCAGAAGCCCCATGAATAAGCCACCCTTATTTAGCACATAATCAAGAGACAGCCAGAAAAAGGGTTGGGCCGCAATGCGCCGGGGCTGCTCTGTCTATGGGGTAGCCGGCCTGCTGCTCGTCTGTTTAATAAATTTTGCTTTTGCTTCCAACTTAAGGCTCCTGCTTCAATTCTTTGCCGCACGAAGCCAAGGACCATTTTAGGCTTCAGGATGGACCCCAGTTTGGGGATCCACTTTCCTGTGTCTGGTGGATTGTATATCTAAACAAGAAAAGCAAAATAATAAAGTTCCTAACAAAGAGCATTAAATAATATCTTCACGAGCATGGGTGAGCAAACATTTCTTCAAAAGGGCACAAAAGGATTAAGGATAAGTAAGACTACATAAAAATTAAGAACTCCTGTTTACCAAAAGACATCCTTAAGAGAGTCCACAGAGAGGGAGAAGACACAGAACTGATAAAGGGTCCATATCCAGTCCCACCCTCTGTCTCTCTCTCTATCTCTCTATCTCTACCTCTGGGCTAGATAAACATAGAGGACAAAGGAGAAAATAAAAGAATTATAAGATAACATGAAAATTCAACACTCTCTTTATGGCAAAAAAAAAACAACACTCACAGAAAACTAGAAATTGAAGGCAGCTTCCTCGTCCTGATACAGGCGTTTAAGGACACCCCCAGCTAACGCCATACTTACTGCGAAAGACTGAGTGTCCCCTCGAGAACAGGAACCAGAAGAGGCTGTTATTTCTTGCCGTCCCCATCATCATTGTACTAGATGTTGTAGCCAAGACGATTAGTCACGACAAAGAAATAAAAGGCACTCAGATTAGAAAGGAAAAAGTAAAACTATCTCTCTCTGCAGATGACATGAGCTTATAAGCAGAAAATGCAAAGGAATCTGCTAAGGAAACCCAAACTATCAGAACTAAGAAACAAGTTCAGCAAAGTTGTAGGATGGATATTCAAGAATCGCATTTTTATTTCTATACATTAGCAATGAACATTGTGAAAATAAAATTAGAAAACAATTCCACTTACAATAGTGATGAAAACAATAAAGTGCTTAGAAATAAATTTAACAAAGAAGTGCGCGATTCGTACGCTGAAAACAACAAAGTATCATTGGAAGAAATTAATGAAGAACTAAATAAATGGAAAGACAAGTTTATGGTCCAAAGGACTTAAGCTGAAGGTAGCATTATTTGCAATTGATCTACAAATTAAATGCAATTGCCATGAAAATTCCAGCTAGCTTCTTTACAGAAATTGACGAGCTGATCCTAAAATTCATATGGAATGTGAAGGACAGGTATTCAGCCCAAACAATCTTGAAAAAGAACAAAGCCGCAAGCCCCACACTTCCTACAAACTTACTACACAGCCACAGTGAGGGACAGGGTGTGGTCTGGCCAATCAGGACAGACATATACACCAATGGAATAGAATTGAGAAACCAGAAATTGATTTTAGGATCAAGTAATTTTCCACAAGGGTCGCAAGACAATTCAATAGGGAAAGAATTGTCTTTTCAACAAATAGTGCCGGGACAAGTGAATATTCACAGGCAAAAGAATGAAGTTAGACCTCTACCACAACATATACAAAAATTAATTCAAAATGTATCAAAATTTAAATGCAAGTGCTAAAACCACAAACATCTTAGAAGAAAACATAGTTGCGATCTTTGACTTTGAATTAGGTAGTGGTTTGTCAGGAATGACACCAAAACCATAAGCAAGAAAAGAAAAAAATAGGCAAACTGCACTTCATCAAAATTGAAAGCTTTTTGCTGCGAAGGACGCTATCAAGATGGTGAAAGGACAACCCACGGAACAGAAAGTTATGGGCCTCATAGGGAACTGCCAATCACGTCTAAGGGAACCGTGCAAAGAAGACGTACATCTCAGTAATGAAAAGACAGCCCAGTTTAAAAACGGGCAAGCGATCTGAATAGACACTTCTCCAAAGAAGACGAACAGTACGCACGTGACTATCATTACCCCCAGGGAATCGCAAATCCAAACCCCAGCGAGATGCCACCTCACGCCCACCAGAGTGGTCGTCACCAAGGTACAACTGCGGGCAAGCACAGGAGAAAATGGAACCCGCAGCCTGCTGGAGGGAATGGCAAAGGGTTAGGGTTAGGGTTAGGGACAGGGTCAGGGTTAGGAATAGGGATAGGGTTAGGGTCAGGGTCAGGGTCAGGGTTAGACTGACAGTTCTTCAAGAGGTTAAATGCAGCAGCCCCCTGTGGTCCAGCGCTGCCCCTCTCAGATATACATCCAAGTGAAACGGAATCATGTTTCCACGCAAACACTGTGGGGATGTCCCAGGAGCACGATTTACCATAGCTAAAACGTGGAAACTCAAACGCCCATCAACACGTGATGGATGAGCAGATACAGTGGAACATTCTTCGCCGTGACAAGGGACGAAAGTGACACCCGCTGCAACGCGGACTCACCTGACAACACTGAGCTCACCGAAGGGAGCCGTCGCGGGGATCCGCCTGGGCAGGATTCCATCCGCAAGAAACGTCCAGAACGGGCAGCGGTGTGTTTGCCACGTGCGAGGGGAGGCGAGGAAATGGGGACGGGGACGGGGCGACTACCGGTAAGTACGGGGCTCCTCCGGGGCCTGGTGAGATGCTCCGAAAGTGTGGGGATGGCGGATACACTAATATACATACACTAAAGTAGCACAGACTAAAAGCTCTTGAATTGCACCCTTTGAACAGGCAGGTTGCATGGGATGTGAATTGCATCGCAGTGAAACCTGCGGTAACTTTCAAGCGCACGCTGCGTTTACGACGCAACACGGGCGCACGGTGTGATGTGTTCCGAGAAGTTGTCTTTTAAACAATTTTAAAAACCTCGACAAAACCTTTCTCCGTTTCTGCTGCACCCGCCTCCCTCCCTGGGCTTCTGCTGGGCCCGCCGTCCGGAGTGCCCCGCGCGCCCTCTGGAGCGGGTCCCGGTCCGGTCCGGCCCAACCTGTACCCGAGAGGGCCCCGCTGCGACCCGGGGCGGGTCCTGGTCCGGTCCGGCCCAGCCTGCACCCGAGAGGGCCCCGCTGCGACCCGGGCGTGCGCCGACGCCGCCCCGCGCGCCAGCGATAGGTCCGGGCCGGCGACCCGCGGCGCGGGGCGGGGAGAGGAGGCCGGCGCGCAGCTGCGCTCGCTCGTCCGCGCCGGTCTGGTCGCCGGCGCCGCGGGGACCGCGGAGGTCCCGGGATGTGGGCGCCGGGCGGCCCTGCGGGGCCCGCGGGCTGGGACCGGCGCAGGGTGGGCGCGCGGCTGCGCGCGGCGCTCGCGGGGCTGCACGAGCTGCAGGGGCTGCGCGCCACGCAGCAGGCGCGGGTGCGGGGCGCCCTGGCCGCGCACCCCCCGCCCGGGCCCGCCGCCCCCCGCGGCCCCCGCGCCCAGGAGCTGCGGCTGGAGGCGGCGCTGGCGGCGCTGCAGGAGCAGCTGGTGAGGACCGAGCGCGGGCGCGGGGGAGAGGGGGCGGCGGGCGTTCGTGGGCGAGAGGGTGGGCTGCCCTGCCGGGCCGATTGCGGGTCGTGCTTGGGTCGTTGGAACCCGCCGGAGACGGAATGAGCGGGCGGCAGAGGCCGGAGGCGCAGGTCGGGGTGTGGGGAAGGCGCGGCAGGTGACATCCCGAAAGTGGCCGGGACTGCCTGGGACGTGCGCGCACCCTGCCCGCCTCCCAACGCCGGCACGCCCGGGGGGGTGACAGTGTTGTTCTCATGCAGACGCACTGACTTGATTTCCCCTGGAGGGGGATCTACTGGGGATCCTGCCGTGTACCCCTGGGTGCCAGGTCCTCCCCCGCTGTGCTGCTTTGGGGACACGATGTCAGTGTGTAAAGCGCACCGGATTTGTCCTCGGAAATGTGCTCAGGCTGAATGGGGTCCAGTCACTGTAAAGAAACATTCGGGAAAACCAAGTGTCTGATGAACCCCCTCAACCTTCTAGCCTGAGCTGTAGGAGGTGGCGTGTGCTCTGATCAGACAGGAGGACCCTCGGCGACCTCTCTGCCTTTCTGGCTGTCTCAGCACTACTGCTCCATGCCAGTTCCTCCTCATGCAACTGAAAACACTCCCGTCCCACGCCCCTGGCAGGAATTCACGTAACATGTTGGGAACCACTCAGAAGGGTCTTTGCACTGCTGCCGCATTGTTTTGAAAGAAAAAATTAAAAGGCTGTAGAAAGACGCCTATTTGTATGAACCACCTCCGTTCCTCTAAGCGAAATTTCCTTTGCGTTAGAAACTCAAATCCGTCCTGTTCAAAGCTGCTTTCAGAGGCCACCCAGCGAAGTCACAGTGTCACTGTCGGCTTAGCTCCGTCCTGCTGTTAACTCAGTCCGTGCTTCTGGACTAAGGGACCAGGAAGTCTGGTGTCTGGAGGTGCCTCCGTGATTCCTGTTATCTTCCCTTTTTGCCAGAGACAGAGGTGGCAGACTGTGTGTGAATGAGCAGCCACCTGCGGCCCACACAGGGGCAGAGTGTGCCGAGTGGCACCTACAGGCTGGGCTGAGCCGCCGGGGTGACCAACGCATGGCAGTCCGCTGAGGTCTCTGTGTTTGCTCCCAAAGGACTCTCGGCTTCCGTGCGGCCTCAGCTGGGCACACGCTCTGGCCCGCAGGTGTGTTCAGGTGTGTGCGGGACGGTGCTCTTGGGATGCCGGCCGGATTGTTCTGTCAAGGGGGAAAGAGCCCAGTTGATGATTAACTTGGCTTAAGGAATACACAACTCAAACTTGTGAGCACTCAGCCTCTAATTACAAGTAGGCTTTTGGAAGAGAAGATCAAACAGGTTTTTTTGTTTAATTTTTTTTTTTACTGTGGGGATCAGAAGGAACACACAGACTTTGTCTTGAAACTTTGTTCTTGGAATGGAGTATGTGATAAAGAGAGAAGAATAATTGAATCGATGTGACGTCAGCCCGGGGCTTAACACTTTTACACTTTTCTTACAGGGAAAAAATTAGGAGCGATAATAATTCTACAATGTAGAATATAATCAAAATGCTTTACTCCCCAGTCCTTACACACTCTAGCAGGGTGAACCCAGGGTCCCTCCCCGACCCCGGCCTTCCCCTGGCCACGGGTCCATCCAGGTGCAAGACAGGAGGAACGTTTATCTGTCCTCAGTGGCTTTACCCCCCAGGAGTGCTCAAGTGAGAATGCGCTTCGGCATTTCTAGGGATTAGAAACATTTCCTGACTGTCATTAGGAAAACAGCAGCGTTCACCAAATTCTGCCTTATCAAGTGTGCCGCATGGTTGTATGATAATTGCTGTGTCAGAAGTCACAGAAGAGGGTGCAGTAGTGGTTGCTCAGTAAGATTTGTTGCGTAAATCAATGAGTGATTTTTATTGCTGGAGCAAAAGGGAAGATGATTCCAGCATTTGGGATCCCCCTACGCTGGATGTGCAAGCTGACGAAGCCGCCCCGCCCTAGCAGGCCCTCACCGTCCGGGCAGAGTTGGCTGTGCTTCCCCAAGAAGGGCCTGGCACTCCCACTGTTAGAAGGGCTGAGCTCGCCAACAACACTGAAGTACAAAGACGTCACACACGCACTCGTACTCAGGACCGCAGGGTAGACCGCCGGCGGGTGCTGCCGTGTCGGTGGGAGGTGCCCTCCAGTGGGAAGCAGAGAAAGGGCCTGGGACTCCCCAGGGAAATCTTATCCTGAAGAATTTCCCGATCTTGACTTTGCTGGTCGTGACTTGTTGTAAAAGTGGCAGCTCTTGCTTCTCGCTGGCAGGGGCCGGCATCCCGTGCTGCGGGAGTGAGCTCTGGGTCTGACCCTGCAGCTGGTGTTTCCCTTGGACCCACTGTGCTTGCGGCGTGGACACACACAGGGGCCGGGGAGGCAGCGTCGAGAACCCGCCCGGGGCCGGGCATCGCAGGACCCGCAGGGCTTCCTGTGCCGTCAGCCGTGCAGTTACCCACGAGCGGTGTGCGACCCTGGCCCCCCGCTGTCCAAGAGGGACGTCTTTTCAACTGAGTAATGACGCTAACCCCCTGCAGGACGGAGGCGGCAGCCGCGAGTTCATGCGTGAAGTGTTTCCTGTGTGCCTTCTCAGCTTTCAAGGAAAGATACCATCTCTATATCCGGAACTCGAGGGCATTTTTAGTTTTTGTCCTGGGAATGTGCTGTAAAGGTTTCTTGGTGGCTGTGATGTCGAGGGGGGAGCAAAACAAGTTCGGGTTGTTCTCTGTGGTGCACAAGGGCAGTGTTTAGAATCAGGCGCTGGCCACATAGTTGTTTGTAGTGAGACCCCTGGAGTAGAAGTTCTCGAACTCTTTGTGGTCAGGAGACGCTTCTGTGGTTCCTGGGAAGCTCCTTCAAATGCGGGTTCCGGGCTTGCCCTGGAGCGTCTCAGCGAGGGGGCGGGCCCGGAGCGGGGTCTGCAGGTGTGCCCTGCGCTCTCCACCGGGCGCTCTGAGCCCTGCCTCACACTCAGAGGATTTGACACAAGCACCCCCCGATCACACCCCGAGCAACCCAGCCCCGAAGTTAGCCTGACGCCTGCAGGGAAGTGGGGAACTGAGCGGCCCAACAACCGGCTGCCGTGAGGGCTCCTTCCGGCCGTGGCACTCGCGCAGGTCGGGCTCTGCGGCTGGCTTCGCAGGGGACGGCTCAGTCCTGTCACACAGGGACTTGGCTGTGAGCAAGGCAGGACGGACACAGAAGACCCCAAGTTAGGGACCGCGCGAAGGGTTAACAGGGGCTGGGACACCCTGAGTGTGGAGTCGGCACCAGGTCCGAGGGTGCAATAAATAACCTGAGAGCCCCTGAGAGCCCCGCGCTGCCGCGGCCCCGGCCCATTAATCAGAAACCAGCCAGCGGAGGCCGGGCTGGCCAAACATTAATCACAAAGCAATTAGCCCAGCACAAACACTCGGGGGCTCTGCTTTTTGGAAAGGTCGTTGGGGATGCAGGGAAGGAGCCCCCGGGGTGCAGAGGGCCCCCTCCTTCGGGAGGAGGAGAAAGTCGGGAGCTGGAAGAGAAGAGGTCGGACGGCTGTTTTTAAACAGTGAGGCGTGGCCTGGCCAAGCAACTTAGTTTTCTGTGTGTACCGTGGGCTTTGTTTGATGACAGGAAGATAAAAAGTCACTTGCAGTGAGAGCATGGGCTGGCCCCTTTGTCCGAATCTGAGCTTGTTCTGCACGGGTGCTGTCGGGCTGGCCTGAGCCGGTCCCTGTGTGCTGCGCTGGCTTCCGTGGCGGTGCTGTCCGCTGGTGACATTCTGCCTCTGTGGAGACGCGCCGGGTAGGAGGCCGGCGTGTTAAGGCCAGTCTGGCTGTGCTGGGAGCATCAGATGCTGATCAGAGTCGGGACTGGTTTCTGCCGTGTACGCGTTTGCAGGTGGTATTACGGCTTCAAACTGTGTTTCTGTGCACACCGTGGAGGGTGCTGGGAGACCCC